CCTGCACAAGATACCCGCTTGCCTCCAACAGAAATATTTGGAGGTGACCGCAAAAAATTTAGGGGCTTCCTAAATCAATGCTGTTTGCATTGCATGATGTTACCTAACCGTTTTCCATCTGAAAGAGAGAAGATGGGATTTATTTTATCCTTATTCAAAGATGAAGGGCCTGGGGCTCCCCTTTTCTGGAACAGGACAGTCCAGTCTTGGGAAATTTAAAAGACTTTCGTGAGGCCATGTGCCTTGTTTTTGATGACCCCAATCGCTGTGCTACAGCAGAAGCTCCTTCATTTACATCAAGGGCTGTGCTCTGTGGCTGAATATGCTGCAGAATTCAGACAGTGGGTTGCTGATACTACTTGGAACCAATCAGCCCAGAGGTTCCACTTCAGAAGGGTTTGGTGTATCACCAAATTAATATATATATATATATATATATATATATATATATAAATATATATATATTACACAAGGTTTGTCTACATTGAAAGGTATTTATTAGAAGGCAACAACACAATACTATAAATGTATCACAAACACACAGCCCAGACCCACGGAGCAACAACCCTTTTTTAAATCTATCTATCTATACAGTAATCCCCTTCCCCACACGTTTGATCTCACCCACGGTTAGGCCTTCACATCTAGTAATGGCTCACTGCTGCAAGTTCAACATCACATCCACCAAGGAAGAAAAGGAAGCAACAGAGTGTAACACGGTTCACCAAGATAGCACATGGTGTCTGCACATGGCTCTGCAGCACAGCCAAGAAGGAACAGAGAGGAATGGAGATAGGGGGAAGTGGTTATCTCTTTCCTGACTTGTAAAGGTATTGAATTACCCAAATTACCATATCAAAGGGTAAAGCTTTTCCCCCTGTAAGAAAGGCATACATAAGCTTGGTCACATGACCACTGGTCACCATATTAACTTGATGACTGAATGTCACCACAAAGGGGTCTCTCTGAAGCTATAAAAGATGAGCTAGCTTGTGTTGACCTTCCTGTTGAGATTGATGCATTTGTGCCATAGGCTATCCGTATAGATCGGAGACTTTCAGAAAGAAGATTGGAAAGACAGGGCTCTTTTAAGCCAAGTGCTACTCCTACTTTCTATTCAAGAATTCCTACTCCCACCCCACAAACACCTACAGACTCTGAACCTGAGGCAGTGCAGGTAGATCTAATAAGAGGGCCATTATCCAATTAAGAAAAACAGTGGTGACGCACTCACAATTTATGCCTGTATTGTGGTAGTGCAGGGCATTATGCCATCAATTGCCCTAGCAAGTCTAAAAAAACAATAGCTATGACTGCTGAGGGTGCAGAGATTCAACACCAATCCCAGATTTCAGACCAACTGGATTCTGTCACACAATCCTTGTTTTCTCTGGCTAAGGGTGAAGAGGGTATGATGACTCAACATCCTCATTTGGTGGTGCCTATCATTTTGCAATATGGTGATAATAAAATGTCAACTACAGCTATGATAGATTCTGGAGCAGGCGGAAACTTTATAGACATTAAATTTGCAGCAAATAAAATTCAGTCTATCCCTAAATCTTCACCTGTGTTATTGGAAACAGTAGACAGTTCTCCACTTACGTCAGGCCCAGTTAAACATGAGACTGTGCCCTTAAAATTGATTCTGGAAGTGAATCACCATGAGTCTATAGCTTTCCACCTAATTTCCTCAACACAGTTTCCAGTGATTTTGGGTATACCTTGGCTTGCTCTGCATAACCCACAGATTGATTGGAAGACTAGAACTTTGTCATTTCCTTCAGAACACTGCTTAATGAATTGTCAACCCTCTAAGGCAACACCTGTTGCCACGACAATTAATAAAATGGTTGCGTAAAACTTAACTAAGCTTCCTCTACAATATCGGGATTTTGCAGATGTCTGTGATAAGAAGAATGCTGATCAGCTTCCACCTCATCCGGCTGCTAAATATAAAGGGGCACGGTCGCGCTGTTTATGCGCCACAGCGCCCAACCTGGCCCCTGCTGATAAATGCCCACCGGGTGGCCCTTAGTGCATGGGCAACCTGGTGGGCCTCCTTAGCGTGAGGGCCAGTGCACCTCTGTGCAGCCGCACCACCGGGTCCATGGGGACTGCTCAAATCACGGGGCCCACGGGGCTGCTGCTCTGGGGCCCCCAGGAGTAACTGGGCCCTGTTTGCCCTGAGTTAAAGAAGGCCCTGTGTAGTGCAAATTCCAGCGTTTGGTTATATATGTTTTGTTCAGAACATGTACAATTTATTGTTTTTCAGGTTCTGCATGGCAATTTAATGGTGAATGTCATAATACAGTTAGTTTTTACTACAATAAAATACACCTATTTATACTCAGCAATGTCTCACAAGTACAACAGTACAACAGTATAACAGAGTCAAATAAAGGACTTTATGCTCCTTTGTATTAGCACCTAGACATTTGCCAGATTGGTTTGCTGGGCCTCTGTTGCCTTTGAGATCGTATGGCAGCCCAGAAATAAAAATTACCCACTTCATGGCGTACCATGTGCAAAAGTAGACAACCAAGAGTATTCAAAAGGGATATGTCCAGTATTTTTTAGTAGTCACTTAGTTACAAACCCTGGCCAAAGGTAGCATTCCTATTAATTTTTTTTTTGCATGTTTTACAAAAAAACGTCCCTTTTACTAATATCATCAGCATTATATCGAAGTGAACTTAAAAGTCATAATTGGGAGAGTTAACATAAAATATGGTATGACGAAAGTTACTTCGTCACTGGGCTTTGGAGACGACTACTTGCCAGCCATTTACACTGTGACTATGGCCCCTTTAATTTATTTTGGCTGAGAGACCCTAATTGTGCCTATTGGGACTTTAAACATTGTTTTTTTTCGAACTTCCAAACAGTCGAAGTGGCCGACATTTGAGCAAGTGGTGGCAGCCATCTTGTTCGCATGGGCTAAAACCGTGAATAGATTTCAGGGGGACTTAGCCGTGAATGCCCTAGAACTATTTTCGACATGAAAACCTTGCTGTTCCCGGTCCGTCCTCCAGCGGCACTTAGCCATGAATCTATGGAACTGTTTTGGGCATGAAATCTTGCGTTCGCCTGGGCAAAAATATGACTTCCATACAATTTCAGAACCACTGATCTGATCTGGATGATTTTTGGATATGTTGTTTACCCAGCTCAGCACTTTATGGGGGTATGTTATGTTTTGGGTACTTATGGGACTTTAGAAAAATGTGTGTTTTTTTGCCTGTGGATAATTAAGTTAATGCATTAACTACCTTAATTATAACACAGATATAATCACAGATGTGAACTAATCACTAGTGCCTACATGAAGTGCAGTGTCCCAGAGACAGGGAAACAAATCAGGTATAATGAAGGGTAAAGGGAATAGAGTCTAAGAGAAAGGAGTTAAATACCCCAGCAAAATTCACATTTTAGCCCCAGACCAGAACTGAAAAGATTAGACTAGCTACCTTTTTTTGTCATTACACTTTAGCACTTGGTAGCACTTATGCACTAATTTTGTTAAGAATTATTTAATTGTTTACTCTTAACTCAGGAAGGGAGAGAGCTTCAGGTAGGCACCAGTGGTTAGTCCACAGTGCCGAGGTACCACAGGGACAGGTCTACTCTTTTGCGTTCTGGTCTGGGGCTGGAATGGGAATTTTGCTGGGGTATTTAACTCCTTACTCTTAGCCTCTATACCCTTTACCCTTCATTATACCTGATTTGTGTCCAATTGCTGGGATAGTGCACAATATAGACTTAGACCTTGCCAATAATCACTTAGCTGGACATTTATAGGTAATTGTGTGTGTATGTGTATATATATATATATATATATACACCTGATTTGTTTCCCTATCGCTGGGACACTGCATTTCAGGTGCCGAGGTACCATAGGGACAGGTCTAATTTCTTGAGTTCTGGTTTAGAGCTGGAATGAGAATTTTGCTGGGTTATTTAACTCCTTTCTCTTAGCCTCTATACGCGTTACCTCTTATTATACCTGATTTGTGTCCAGTTGCTGGGATAGTGCACAATCTAGACTTAGACCTTGCCAATAATCACTTAGCTGGACATTTATAGGTAAGTGTGTGCGTGTGTGCGTGTGTGTGTGTGTATATATATATATATATATATATATATATATATATATAAAGAAATAAAGCAAGAGATGCACTCTCAGGACTTTTTAGGTGAATATAAAAGGATTTATTCCAATAGGTGATACATCAAAAAAATGACCAACGTTTCGACCCGTTCGGTTCTTCCTCAAGATCTTGAGGAAGACTCGAACGAGTCGAAACGTCGGTAATTTTTTTGATGTATCACCTATTGGAATAAATCCTTTTATATTCACCTAAAAAGTCCTGAGAGTGCATCTCTTGCTTTATTTCTTTATATATCTACAACGTGGGATTGCACCCAGGCATAAATTAACTTTATTTGGAGAAAGGTGGAGTGCCAAGATACCTATTTTGTTTATATATATATATATATATATATATATATATATATATATATATATATATATATATACAGGGAGTGCAAAATTATTAGGCAAGTTGTATTTTTGAGGATTAATTTTATTATTGAACAACAACCATGTTCTCAATGATCCCAAGAAACTCATTAATATCAAAGCTGAATATTTTTGGAAGTAGTTTTTAGTTTGTTTTTAGTTATAGCTATGTTAGGGGGATATCTGTGTGTGCAGGTGACTATTACTGTGCATAATTATTAGGCAACTTAACAAAAACCAAATATATACCCATTTCAATTATTTATTATTACCAGTGAAACCAATATAACATGTCAACATTCACAAATATACATTTCTGACATTCAAAAACAAAACAGAAATGGGGGCGGGGCCTGACCTTCATGGAGAGAAGTCGCATGTCGGCTGAGCTCCGAGCTGAAAGTGGCAAAAATCGAGCAAACGACTATAAAGCAGACGGTGCACTGTCGAAAATTAAACATCCCCCTGCAACACCAATATGGGGAAACGATCAAAAAAGCTGAAAGCATCCTCGGACGACGGTACACGTCGAATAGGAGACATATTCCTGGCGCGGCCTAAAACCAAAATGGCGGCAGCGCCAGACTCTCCAGGCCTATCCTCGGACGAAGACCCACTGGACTCCCCAGATGCCATACCTGAGGCAGATGACCCTTTCTCCGCCGTGCAACTAGGGGACCTGGGGGCTCCCGCAACTAAGGGAGACATCCTGGGCCTCCTGAAACACCTGCGCACATGGTTCCGCACGGATATGGCGCTACTCCGCGAGGAGGTAACGGCCGTAACGGACAGGGTGAAGGCCACAGAGGAGGACATCACCTCCATGGCACAACGCCAGTCAGACGCAACAGAACGACTACAACAACTCCACGGCTCACACCAGGCCCTGCAGGCCAGAGTCGATGCGATGGACGACTCCAGGAGACGAATCAACATAAAAGTAAGAGGCATCACGGAAAATGTCAACGACACAGAGCTACCCCACTTTATTAGGCGCCTCCTGTCGGAAATCCTGCACCCCAAACAGGCAAAGAACCTGCAACTAGATGGAATACTCAGACTCCCCAAGTCACCAAGGGCTCCGGCGGACGCTCCCCGTGATGTCCTCCTGAGGTTCCAGTCCCTACGCGACAAACAAGCAATGATGGACGCCATCAAGAACAAGAGCCCACTCAAATTTGAGGGCTCACAACTAACCTTTCTCCAGGATCTCTGCAGGGCAACATTGGAGTGGAGACGTTCTCTCAGCCAGGTCACCAAGACCCTCCGAGAAGCAGGCGTCCAGTACAGATGGGGCCCTTCCCACACACTCGTGGCCATACAGGGCGAGACCACCCGCCGACTCACCTCAGCTGCTGACTCCGACCCATTCCTCCACAGCCTGGGGCTCAACCAGCACAAGCCCAACACGGCCAAACCTGGACATTCCTGGGACATACCCAACATAGTCCCCTTCGTACCTCGAAACGAAGCCGACACAAGATGAGAAGCCCCAACGGGACCCGGGCTCAACATACCCCTCAAGTAGAGGGAAGTGCCGAAGGACTGGCAGGCGATCACAAATTTTAATGCTGGCATAGCCACACAGTTAAAATTTTATTTAGGCATGTTTAGTGAAAGCCACCCGGCTACCATACCCCACTGATGTCTCCACACCACTCCTTACAAGATACACAACCCGACCACCCCCCTCCCACCAATCCAGGGGCCCTAGAGCAAATCCCTAGCTACCCTACCCAACCGGGAGCGATGAACCAGCCTCCGAATCCGAGTAGCACCCCCCCCTCCACAGCGCTACCTCTAGTCACAGCACATGAACCAGCAGGCAGCCTCACCAAACATCCCCCCATATTCTCGGGCGCACCAAACACTCCAGCGGGTTCCTCAATCACGGCCCACCCCGGTACACGAAGGATCTAGCCCATCATGACGGAGCCACGAAGCCAGATCGCCACTACACCCAAACACCTATAACACAACGCTGCTAACCCAGCATACAAAGAGGGCTACTCTCTAGGTGACACACTCAAAAGCTGTAGCAACCTACCTGCTGGAGCACTGGCCCAGTAGAACCTGATGCCTGCAGTAGCCCGCACCCTGGGATACTTAGCTAGCTAGCTAACTCCCTGCCCCCCCACCACACTGACCGGCCATATACTTATATATTGTGCCTCAGTGGTATACTGAATATATATCATTAAATCCACATGACAGGGTTAGGAACACACCGCGAAACGCATGGTGCCCAATCTTAACCCAACCTTAGAGACAAGCCGGATAACCTGCTCACTTACATATTGGATCACTCACCTCAAAACCACAATACACTTATTACAGTCAGTGTGGACTAACAACAGGGTATAGCTGAACACATTACAATTACACCACATATTCTAACGACTGTAGGCCTAGACTGTTTTTCCTTGTTCTGCAATGTAATAGCTTTAACAAAAATGTGCAGTAATCTCACGTGCCATTCATCTGTATATTAATGTCTCAATCTGTTTGTCCAAGCTACTGTGGCACGGCAAACCTGATTGTCATATTCATGCACAATTAAAATAAAGAATTATAAAAAAAAAAAAAAAAAACAAAACAAAAACAAATCAGTGACCAATATAGCCACCTTTGTTTGCAAGGACACTCAAAAGCCTGCCATCCATGGATTCTGTCAGTGTTTTGATCTGTTCACCATCAACATTGCGTGCAGCAGCAACCACAGCCTCCCAGACACTGTTCAGAGAGGTGTACTGTTTTCCCTCCTTGTAAATCTCACATTTGATGATGGACCACAGGTTCTCAATGGGGTTCAGATCAGGTGAACAAGGAGGCCATGTCATTAGATTTTCTTCTTTTATACCCTTTCTTGCCAGCCACGCTGTGGAGTACTTGGACGCGTGTGATGGAGCATTGTCCTGCATGAAAATCATGTTTTTCTTGAAGCATGCAGACTTCTTCCTGTACCACTGCTTGAAGAAGGTGTCTTCCAGGAACTGGCAGTAGGACTGGGAGTTGAGCTTGACTCCATCCTCAACCCGAAAAGGCCCCACAAGCTCATCTTTGATGATACCAGCCCAAACCAGTACTCCACCTCCACCTTGCTGGCGTCTGAGTCGGACTGGAGCTCTCTGCCCTTTACCAATCCAGCCACGGGCCCATCCATCTGGCCCATCAAGACTCACTCATTTCATCAGTCCATAAAACCTTAGAAAAATCAGTTTTGAGATATTTCTTGGCCCAGTCTTGACGTTTCAGCTTGTGTGTCTTGTTCAGTGGTGGTCGTCTTTCAGCCTTTCTTACCTTGGCCATGTCTCTGAGTATTGCACACCTTGTGCTTTTGGGCACTCCAGTGATGTTGCAGCTCTGAAATATGGCCAAACTGGTGGCAAGTGGCATCGTGGCAGCTGCACGCTTGACTTTTCTCAGTTCATGGGCAGTTATTTTGCGCCTTGGTTTTTCCACACGCTTCTTGCGACCCTGTTGACTATTTTGAATGAAACGCTTGATTGTTCGATGATCACGCTTCAGAAGCTTTGCAATTTTAAGAGTGCTGCATCCCTCTGCAAGATATCTCACTATTTTTGACTTTTCTGAGCCTGTCAAGTCCTTCTTTTGACCCATTTTGCCAAAGGAAAGGAAGTTGCCTAATAATTATGCACACCTGATATAGGGTGTTGATGTCATTAGACCACACCCCTTCTCATTACAGAGATGCACATCACCTAATATGCTTAATTGGTAGTAGGCTTTCGAGCCTATACAGCTTGGAGTAAGACAACATGCATAAAGAGGATGATGTGGTCAAAATACTCATTTGCCTAATAATTCTGCACTCCCTGTAGTTGTCCTCGGCACTCTTCCTTAAATATATATTGCCTCGGTGCTACCAGCGTAATGGATATATATATATATATATATATATATATATATATATATACACATATATATATGCATACACATTAGATTTATACCTTGTCATTCCTCCCTATATCCTTTTTTATACTTTTGTTTTTCTCCCTAGTTCTATTAAAGGTAGGGTTCCCCTTTTCAATATTTTATGTTAACTCTCCCAATTACGACTTTTCAGTCCACCTCTGTTCACTTAGTTATTGTGGGTTTTTCCCCATCTTGGGGAGAGCAACATTGGGCATTCTTTGGCACTGATTCACTAGATTTCAGTGCCCCACAAGGTCTACATGTGTGGTAACCTTGCTGGGAAATATGTAAATAAGCAGGAATAAACGCTCATTGGAGTCAGTTCTTCTTCACCCTCAATCTAGAGTCCTGTCTCTTATTGGGGGTAACCAACTATATCACTACAAGGGATTGCTATGCTCTGCATGCTCCTTTGGATAATCACTTCTAAGCTCTTTTAAGAGCTTGTTCCTGTTTCCCTCTCTTGGAGGAGAGGTTCACCCACTGGGGCTTGGTGCCTTGTCGTAGGTCCAGGGTGGGTAGGAGACAGCGAGACCCCAACCAAGCTACGGAGGTTTGTGGGGTCTGCGGTGGTTGTGGTGTCTGGCGGAGTGCTTGGAGCCCTCTGGAAGCGCTAGGAGCATCCAGTAATGGAGGTACCCAGTCAGGGTGCCAGGCGGTCCGTTACAATGGCAATTTAACTTGAATGTCATAATACTGTTAGCTTTTACTGTACTAACATTCACATATTTGCATTCAGTGATGTCTCACAAGTGCAACAGTACCCCCATGAACAAGTTTTATAGTGTTTTCAAAAGTTAAAGGGTCACATATAAGGCTTGCCATTCAGTTTTTTTCACATCAAAATGTTGCCTTTGAGACCGTATGGTAGCCAGGAATGAGAATTGCACCAATGATGGTATACCATTTGCAAAAGTAGACAACCCAAGGTATTGTCCAGTTGTTTTTAGTAGCCACTTATTCAAAAACCAACTGGCCAAAGTTAGCATTCATATTTGTTTGTTTGTGTTTATATTTGACCCTTTCACTGTTGAAAACACTATAAAACCTGTACAAGGAGGGTACTCAGGATACTTTGTTGAACACAAATAGCAGTGTTTCAAAACATTAAAATGTGTCACAACAATGATATCATCAGTGGAAAAAAAACAGCACTTTCACTGACAATATCATCAATGTTATAAGCTCTTCTGTTTTGAAAAACTAATATTTGTTTTCAATGATGTCTCTTGAGTATAACAGTACCCCCTACCACTCCCCTACCCCACCCCCCTTCCACCTCCATGTACAAGTTTTATGGTGTCTTGGAAAGTTACAGGGTTAAATATAGGGCTTGTGAACAAAATTCTCTTTCTGTCTGGGTTGTCAGGCAGGTCCCTCAAATTATGATCAATAAAATTACTTAATTAGGTAAACATATTACATAAATGTACATGTAGATTTTAATTAAATATATATGGATATTTATACATTTATTAAAACATTTGTAACCCACGATTACATGGTCTGAGAGGGCCAGATTGGCTGCAGGGGGACTGCTCCTATTTTTTCCAACTTGATAAAGCCCTATGTGGTGAAACATGTGGATTTTTTTAAAGCATTTTATTAAAGCGATTTTGGCTACTCTCATACAGTGATTGTGCCATTTTCCTTTTTTATAGCTTTTTTATTTTTGCCTGGCATCCTGTTCATCACTCCAGAGAGGATCTCATGAAAAAATCCTATGTGGTCATTATACCACTCATGTACTATTCATTGAGCGGTTTGTCTGCTCAATTAAATGTGAGTACATTTATTTATTACTCCTGGCTTAGTGTACACAGTGAGCACTATTGTTGTAATTTGTTTCAAATTTTTGGCCTTATGGTCCTTATACCACTGTGAAAACTGCACTGCTGACTACAAGTGGATATTATAGTACTGTACACCCATCATCCTAGAGCTGGTCTAAGCTCTATAAAACGTGAGTAGTAAAATATGTCTTGCACTATAAAAGTACCACAAAATATTGGAACATATTGCACTATTGGCTTTCTTCCTTGTTTTATTTTGTATATCTATATGGTTCCCAAGAACATTTGGAACTGGTATCCATATAGAAAAGTATGAAAAAACTCCTCTATGGGATTTGGCTGCTACCTTTGCAAGTTTACACATTGACTTTGGACTGTTATATTTGCTACGTGTTCTTTATTTATTTGTTCCATTTGTTTTAGTGTTTTAATATTTTAAATACATTTGTTAACAATTGGCACAACATTTCCCCATTTTGCCTATCAAGAAATAGTTTTTTTTAAAGGTCTGCTTGAATGTCAGATTTTTCTACAGCCAAACAATTCCTACTCATTTTTAAAAATTGTCCCCTCAGGATGTGTTCAAGCCACGGACGAAATTTACAACTCTCTTTTTGGAAACTATTTACTTCTACTGTTTCAATAAACTTGCAATTTTAATTTCTTTATCCTTTATATAAATAGTAAGGTTCAGGAAACTGATATATGTTTTACAAATTTTATGTGACAGCCCAATATTTCAATTATTGTAATTTAAAAACATTAAATATTCTAAAAACTGAAGGAAACTGTCATCTATGTACCTCCTGTAGAGGACCAGGTTCTCAACAAAGCCATGTT